GCATTTTTCAACTAAAAGAAGAAAGATTGCTACCCAAGGGTCATCTTGAAGAAAATTATGGAATGAGTCTCAGTCAGCTCCAAGGTAGTTTTAAGAAGTGCAATTATAGAAGGATTCTGATGATAAAGTAAAATGAGATTAAAAATTTAAACATTATGTATTAGAGAGATCAAACAGTGATCAGAAGCACCTAAGGGTAAATGTGGAGAAACTGAGCACTGACTAGTATCAGAAACAAGATAGAAGTCGAGTAGAGAGGTAAATGATTTGGATTATCTGGAAAGCAAGTTGCGAGTTGGAAAGTTGACTATTTGTGTTAAAGATTAAGAAAGACAAAAGTTGTACACCTTAACACTTGCAGAGTCACTGAAACTAGAGCCAAGCCATTCAGTGTAATTAGCATTAAAGTCCATTAAAAACCAACAACAACAATATTGGCTGAAGGATTGGTTTAAAGGATTTGATCAGAAATAAGATCGAAAAGAGTGCAGTTTTGAGATGAAGGGAAAGCAATATAGAAAGAGAGAGACAAAGAGAAAAGCAATAGAGTAAAGTGTTGCTAAAAAAAGCACATCAAAGATTCCTTAAGTCTGTGGATTGAAACCTAGTTTCCCTAGAAATGGGTGAACTCTTACGAATGTAAATACCCAGGCCAAGCATGTAGCTGTTGAAGTCTTTACAAATTAAAGGAAGATAACATTCAACACTAAAATCACAAAATGAGACAGCTGAACTTAAATTAGTCTCACAAAGATCTGGTGATCTTTGCACGAGATAAGCAGAAGAAAAATTACTTGAAGACCACGAATATTAGTGAATGATAGATTTAGAGAACTTGGTGATAAAAATGGTTTTTGTGTTTTATAGTTTTTGATACTTTAGTCATTTTTAAATTTACTAAAGCACTTGACTCAAAGCACAGATAGTACTCAGCACACTTTTTAATAGTCGAAACAATTGCCTCATTACTATTAATAAACCCTAAGCTGTAACAAATGTGATCTCGACAGATAGAATCTGTTTACTCCTTAAGTCTTTGTCCAGGAGGCCATCTATAAGACAGTAGCCGGATGCATTTTTCGCTTGCCCAAGATGAGCATTTATATCAAGACACCATCTCTAGCCTTTACTCAACCAAGAGCTCCAAGGGAGGGGGTGTTATTGCAGTTAAGCAATACTAGCAATTAAATAATATATTAGCAATACTAGCAATTAAAGAAAAATAAAATTTACACGGCTCACCGAAAATAATTTCATAACAAAAAACGTTATAAACAGTCAATGACTTTGATAAAATTGTTTATAAAAGATACCTTTGTACATAAAATAATTTATTCTAGTTTATGTGGGGTAAAATCTATATTCAAAGGGTAAATAACAAATTTACTTTAAATAAGAAAAATGATTATTGTTTCTGATTACTAATGTCTTATTTTGTTCTTTTTGCATGTTTAGTTATCTTATAGTCTAGCAATAGCATTATTTGATGGTCTAACAATAGCACTACCCGGTGGTCTAGCTATAGCATTATCTGATGGTCTAGAAATAGTATATCTAATGATGTAGTGACACTAATGTGACATGAAACTAATGTGACATTTTCTGTAAGCAGGATTAATTTTTATTTTTTAATTGAAAATAGTGTTATAGTTGCAATTAAGCAAATATACATGATCCGCATTGTGCAAGACCCACATATGTTTTATTAATTTTTGACACACGTAGTATATCTAATAGTATATCTAATGATATAGTGACACTAATGTGACATGAAACTAATGTGACATTTTCTGTAAGCAGGATTAATTTTTATTTTTTAATTGAAAATAGTGTTATAGTTGCAATTAAGCAAATATACATGATCCGCATTGTGCAAGACCCACATATGTTTTATTAATTTTTTGACACACGTAGCAACTGGTTGTAAAGTATGCAAAAGTTGAGATGGATCATCAGAGTTTTTGTTCAAAAGTATTTTCTAATCACTAGCTCACAGATTTAGTAGTTCTTTAATATTCACTTTTCCATAGATTCAGCAATACTTTCCATAAAAGACACGTGACACTTGTTGATCAAAAATAATTTAGTTTAACTTCTATATTTTTATGATATCATATGAAAATGGAGTTGTACTTGATTAAATAATTAACTTATTGATTTGTCGGCTTTTTAAAAGACATTATTGGGTACTAAAAAGACCAATAACAAATTCCAGGAACTAAAATTTTTAAAACCTTTTAAAACTTCTAATTACTTTAGACTTTGCACACGATATTTACGATATTTAAACGATATTTAAACGATATTTAATATTCAAGTTTTGCCCACAATATTATTGAGAACAATATAGTTGGTATATTGGTTCAATTACCCTGTCCTTTTCTATCTGTACTTTTCAGGGCGATGCGTCTGAGTCATTTTGAAACTGATAACAAATGCCAAATTATCTGTAACTTTTTAAACAACGGTATAGCCGAAAATTTTGTAAATGCTACTAAAGTCAACAAGTTCAAAACAAAATTTAAACTTGCATTTAAAATAGTTAACACTGACCATCATTTTACACTTAAATACAATCTAGCTTTGTTTTTTAATGATTATGTTTATATATAATAACAGCTATGTATATATTTTTATACATTTATATAGACCAACACTAGAACTAAACACTAAAGACACAAATAAAATATAATAACCACGCTGGTAAAAAAAGCATTGTCACATTTAAAAGGTTTTGAGACTATATATTAATCATTTATTAATGTCTTTTTATAAAGCTAAACAAAACAAAAAAAATTTAAAAGTTTTCGTTTACATTAAAGTTTCAATTTTTGTTTTAGTTAATAATGTTGTTCTATTAAATAAAGTATAAAATATGAAAAACATGATTTTGATATTTTATACTAAATTAAACAATGTTTTTCTTTTTTGAAAGTCTTTCTTTTCTGAGAGAAATACCTAGATACTGCCAGGACCTGTATCTAGTTATACATGGCCGGGTTAAGTACTTCTTGGCCTCCCGGCACTTTAGGCCTTCTGCCCCTGTTGGTTTCCTTGTATTCAAATTTAACAGCAATTTAAAATAATTTTTATATTTGTTGCGCTATGGCTTTATAATTTATTTTCTTTTGTATTTAAACAAGCATCTTGCGTTATTTATTATTAAAAACACGCAGCAATTAGTATGATATCTTTTAGATCAATGGCATCTAATACCCGGTTTTCCATTTGAACAACAGAAAGATCTGAAAGATATTCCTGAAAAAAAGCTCTAAAATGAAGACATTCGTTCAATAAGTGAAAGTTAAGATCAGTAGAATATCGGTCAACAAGTTTTTGTGCGCTGCAGGTAATCTCAAAATATCCATGCTGCATGCAATCTCAAAATATCCATTCACAAGAAAACCAATTAGAGAGTTCAATTCAGAATAGGTTTTGTTTTACATAGATCACTCATTAGTTTGTCCATGATCACATTAACGTCGGCAATCATTTAAGATTCTGGTCATACATTGTTCTTTATTATTATTTATTTCAATTGTTATGATTTCTATATCATAGTCAGAAACGCTTAAATTTTTTCATAACATTACGTGCAATGTTTTCTGCAATGCTAATTGCTAATTTTGGATGATAGAAATTTTATTGTAAGCGAAAACTGATCCGAATCCCTCAACTGTGTGTCCGAAAAAATATTTTTTTGTACTTAATCATTTTTAACACTTTTTACCTTTAATTTTAACTTAATATCTAAAGATCAAATGAGTGTTTTTTTAATTATGTTAGGATCATGTTATATTGACCATTTAACACAATTAAATTTTTACAAAACTTAGCGCCTCTGCCGTAATGGCTCATTTTGTAAGTATACTATAACATTTTTTTTCAATTTCAAGCCTTAATATATGAATAGGCCTAGGTATTACATAACTTTTTTTGCATTTTTAAACTCAATACCTTTGATACATTCAAATCCTAAAAAAAAATTGTGTGCAACACTTCGCCGCTAGAAATAACTCCCATTAAAAATTGACAAAACTGATTGTTTTTGTACTTTTGAGCTATGATGATTAGCCAACCGCTCAGTGTCACGCAACTTTTTTATATTTTTTGGAGAGAACTTTTGGGTTACGTCTGATATTAACAACAAAAGCTATGAGCAACTCTTTGCCTTGCCAAAAAAATGGGTTCAAAGGTGCCAAAACTTAAATTTCTAAATATTTTTAAAAAAATCTCAAAAATTTAGGCCCAGATTCCAAGTGAACGAAACATTTTTGAAATTTTTTTTTTCCCAAACAGGTTTTCTCTATATTCTGATCAATATATAAAAAATTCAAGCAATTTGGAGGGATCACTTCCATAGTTTTTAGAATTTGCCTGATTCTTAGAAAAAACGGCTCTTAGGAATAAATAATATTTCGATTTATGTTATAAATATAATTGTTATTGATAATTACTTGATTTAAAACTATATAATACATGTATTGATAGTTTTTTCAAAAGGCATACCTTATTTTAAGGGGGTGCAAATTTTAGGTTTGCATGGGACGCCACAGCAGCTTGCGCCGCCCTTGGATACAGCTCTGTTTGTATTCTTTTTTTTTTTAAATGTTGATGACTGCGATTAGAATATTTATTTTAAAATAGAGTTTAGTTTATTCTACTAAAATAAGTTTTAATTCGCATTACATCTTTATTGCGAAATTTCGACATTTTAATTTTCAATCTTTAGCTTATATTAATTTGTTTACAGTTTTTATTGATCTTTATTGTAAAATAATAATAATAAAAACGGATGTAAAAGCCTGAATGCCTATCCTTTAGTTTACTTTTGGAATAAATTAAAGTTAAGTTATAATAAAGACGATCAAATAAAACTAATGTTTTTTATTTCTTGAGTCTATGTTAATAAGCACAAAAAATATATTTATACATTATATTCCTTTTTTTAATGAGTATTGATAAGAAAGAGTTGTAGTTCAACCAATAAAAATTAGTAAATAAAAAATTCAAAAGCTAGAATGCACAAAAGCATGATGATTGCTGTTAAAAAAGATTGTTCTCGCATGGAGCTTTTAAAGCCTCCTTTAACAACAATATTAGGAATCTTATTCTTTGTTACCAGTGTAACAGCCACGCTTGGAAACAGCCTTGTTTTAATTGTTGTTAGAAAAATGAAAAAGAAGCGCCCACTATCCAATCTAATAATTTCATCTCTTGCTCTTTCTGATTTTTTAGTAGGGATAATCTTAGGTCCATTAACTAGCTGGCAACAAATAGATTTTCCAATATTAAGTAGTTGTATCATTGATCACGTGAGAGCTTACTTTGTTGTCTTATTGGTTGGTTCTTCAGTAATGACGTTAGCAGTGATATCGTATGACCGCTATATTTTGTTATCTAAACTAACAAATTACAATAAATACATAACAGAAAAAAAAATTTTGTTATTAATATCATTATGCTGGATTTTACCTGCTTTTATACCATTTATTAGACAAATTAATGCAAATATTTATTTGGTTAACATATTTTTGCTCTTTGTTGCACCTTTGGCAGTGCTTGGCATTTATTACTACTTCATAATTAAAGCAGTACATGAAAAAGAGAAAATATTGTGGTATCAGATTAAAAATGTCGTTGAAATAAGTGTAACAATTTCATCGCAGACAATATCAGAAAATACAACTGACTTTGCTAGTAAAGATGACATATCTATTAAACAAAAAACAAACAGTTCAATTATAAGAAAAGAGAGGACAAGCATTGCTCTAGCGAAATCTGTCACAGTTTTAATTATTTGTTACGTATGCTGTATTACACCTATGAATATATGGATTACATTAGATATGTTGCAATCAACTCGGAAAGTTTATGATTTCGAAATTGCATACGCCATCGCCATGCTTTGCATGCAAATAAACTCAACTATTAATCCGATGATTTATTTTTCCAAGAATCCAGATTTTAAACGCGGGTTAAAAAAACTTTTCACAAAAAAAAGTGAATATAAAAAATAAATTAAAAACTGATCTACTTTTTAAATGAGCTATTTGTATTTCTATAGTAAAAATTAATTTTAGGTTTTATATTTTAATACAAAATATTATATTTATGTTATATTATATTTTTGTATTTAATTATCATTAACATCAAATTGTTTTAATCTATCACTTACAAATAAAAGTTTAAAATATTTTTTCATCTGAACAATCTTTTTTTTTCTAAAATAAATCAGATCTATTTTCTTACTTTGTAATTAATTAAAACTTGACTGTTTCATCTTCGAATCTCAGTGTTGATTGGCTATTTCATCTTCGAATTTCAGTGTTGATTGGCTGTTTTATCTTCGAATCTCAGTGTTGATTGGCCGTTTCATATTCGAATTTCAGTGTTGATTAGTATTATCACCTTGTTACTTCCAGTCTTGATTGTATTACCTCCTTGATTCTCTAACTCTAAAAGTCACAGCTGTCTGACACACACAGCTCTCTAACTTTTATGTGTTTTTTTTTTCGATTGTCTTTCTTTTCGTTTTGTTATGTTCTCCTTTTTCTCAACACTGTAATTTTTTGATGTTATTTCTTTTTAAATCAAATTTATTTTTATTAATAAATCCCTTTCTTTTTATTTATTTATCAATATTTTTGTAATTGGTAACTTTGCTTATCTTACTAAATATCTTAGCTCTAGTACCACTGACCCTGTTAACAATGAAGCTCAAAGTTTTTCTTTCTTAATTTCCTACACAGTTGACTAACTTTGCAATAACCAAAACAAATATCTTTACTCCTAAATTGACATCTTTTTCTTAACCATAGATTTTGCTCAGTTTCTCCTCATTCTCTCTTAGTTTGTTTAGATCATGCTATTATCTCACTAAAATATTATCTCACTAAAAAAACGCATGCTTCTTCAACAACAAATTCATCCTCACACTTCTTACTACTTGAAAAACTTTTCTCACCTTCTTAAAGCTGACTGAGAATCTTTTTGTGATTTTTTATGCAATGTAATTTTTTCTTATGTGATTTTTTATGCAATGCTTCGTAGTCATCTAAATGAAAATCTTTTGTCTTACTGCTTTATATTGTGTCTCCTGTGTAATTTGATGGATTCAAGCAGACATGGAAAGTTTTAAGGTTCAAGTTTCACTATACTTTGTGTTTTTCTACTTTGTGTTTTTTGCGTGTGCAACAAGCAAAAAACACAAAGTATTTTTATCTTTTTCATCAGACTAACTCTCTTAAATATAAACTTCTTTTTACCATTGCTAATGATGTAATGATGTAAGTAATGATGCAAAAAATTAATGTAAAAGTATACTAATACGAAGATCCATTATTCATAGGTTACTAAGTCTTGTACTTTATCTCAGAAGTTCTATATATTTTTAAAACATTTATTAGCATGGTTAACAAAAGCAAGTCTAACATTTCACTTCCATTAAATGATTCTGATTATATTGCCAAAAATAAGGGCTCTTTGCAAATAACCTTCTTTTCGTTTATCTTTTGAGTTCACACGTTTTCTGACATCCCCAAGAAGCAAGTTAACACAGTCTGACAAAAATGTTCTCCAGAACTTAATTCAATACTTTCTAAACTATTTAAGAAGTGCTTAGCTGAATCTTTTTCTGTCTACTAGAAAAATGCATTGCAGTTCCAATTTTCGAAAACTCTCAAAATTACTTGATCTCAGTCTTCTTACTATTATAAACTCATTATTTAAACTAATAAAAACTTTTTTAGTTCTTATTAATAAACTTCTAAAATATCCATTAAAAACTTATTTAGTTCTAATTAATAAACTTCTAAAAGGGATTTCAAGGAAAGTTTTCAAGTTAGTAAATTTTTTTTTTCTAATTGTATTAAAAAAGTTGTCGTTAGTGATATTATGAAATATTTTTAACCATTTCCAACAAGCTCTGAGGTAACACAAGGTTCCTTGGCTTTGTATTGTTCCTCATTGTTTGATCAATAGTCTTATTATTAATGATCTTCTTAACAACTTTTAAAGCAATTCTTTATTTTCTGATGACAAAATTATATACTCTAGCCTTGAAAAAAAGTCATCACTTTTAATTATTTAGAAAATTTAATTATTTGATAACTTTGAATGCGTAATGACTGGTTAGTGTTTAGTGTGGTTAGTTAGGGGGTAACCCAAAAAAATTCATTTTCTGCTAATAACTATTGTAATATTTTTATCTATTTTTCAACTATTAATATTTCTATATTTATTAATGGCAGCAATCTTACTGAATACTCTTCTTTACGTTTCTTGATCTGTCTTTTATTTCTAATATTTTAAAGAAACCATTTAATCAAGTTAACATTTCCTTAACCTACCTCTTTTTTTTTGTGCTTGTAGTGTTTACTAACTTCTGATTTCATACTCTAACTCTGTAAATTTTTTATTTGTTCTTGTTAGGAAGACTTTACGAGACAGAAATTGCGTTTGACAGAAGACTTAAAATCTTCTGTGAACCGCAATTTCGTTCTTCAAATTTATTTTTTACTTTGAAGACCAAGACAATCTTGCAAAGTCTTAATCTTGAAAGATGTGTACTTTTCATTGAAAAGTATGACATTGGTTTTACAATAGATTACCTTGTCCTTGGTCATGCATTAAAATACTTTAGCCTTTTGTTACAAAACTCGTTTGTTTCAGTCAACTTCACTAACTATTGATGACGATGTTATTTTTATTCAACAACTAATTAGTGACCTCGGCCACATCCTCTCATTATGGATTGATATTTTGGCTCAAGCCAGAGCTGTTGCAGGTCCTCTCGACTTTGAAACTGAACTTTTGACATAACAAAAGAAGAGAGCAAAATAATTTCGCAATGATTTTGCAATGATTTTGCAATGAACCTGAAAATGCAGCGTTCTGCTGTGAAAGCTCTGAGAAAATATTTGAGGTAAATATCTCCAACGTTGTCCTTTATTTTATTTATTAATTTTATTTTTTATTTTGTCATTAAAAAAAAAAAGAATACAATGCCGTGTTATATAAATAAAATCTACATAACCGGGGCTTAATGAAGACAATATTTACCTTATCGCTACGCCCTTGATCATTTTATTTCAAAAATTTAATCAAGATTTGACATTCTAAAAACTGTTTTTTCAAAATTCTCAATCACCTGTTTGAAAAAATAGTACTCGTTAGAGATAAAATCTCGTGAATTGGTGCATATCTACGCTAATGATGTAAAAGAAGACAAGAGGACAAGAAGATATTTATGGAAGAAATTATGCATCTTAATCGTTTGAAGAAGTCTTCGCTTTTTAATCCTCGAGCCAAATACATTCAAAGGATCTTATAGCCTATTTTCCCATCTGTATGCATCATTAAAAATTAAATTATTTTAAAGGCGTACTTAATCATACATATGCATGATTACATATAATTTTAATTTAAATTCTTTTAAAAATTATGCATGCTTAAAGGAGCGTCTACTAGAAGCTCTCGGCGGCCCTGTACACAGAGACTAAAATGTTTCATAAACAGTTAATTCCTGGTAAGTTAAATACCGGTTAACATGAACTTTTGGTTATCTCAAATTGTTTCGTTTAGTCCCTTGAAACTATCTAATTAATTGGTCAATTGAAATTGTCTTATTGGTATCTCTGGTTAAGTTGAACCTCGAACCATTTTTTTGTCCACTTTCAGAGTGTTTCTTCGGTTAACTCAAGCTTTTTGTTTGGGAAATTAAAAAATTAAAAATAACTTGATTAACATTTTTTTAGAAGTCATTCCATATAAAACGTAAGCAACAGTAACCTAACATTTTCTATATTTTTTCATTCTATTTAAATCAAATAGAAAAGTAATTAGATGTAAATAGATCGTTATCAAACCTAAAATAGTACTATAATAAAACTGTTACAAAATCAATATAAATAAAATAACGTTAAAAGAGCAATTATTTTAAAGTTTCAATAAATTAATTAATAAAAAATCGCTAGCTTAAAGACGCAATTTTATTACAAAATAATAAGGAATTCATAGTGTTGCTGAACTTTTTTCAAAGTTCTTATTTGAGTATGCATTGTGATTACAATACTTAATTTCTTTTACTGAAACATTTTTCACGTTTTTGTTGCTATAATGGAGTTTATTTAATGTTTTTTTTTTTTTTTTTTTCTTTTCATTACATTTTAAATAAGAATTTTGCTCCAATAATTAAAATACAAATAAATAATAATTAAAAAAATATATAAGACTATACGGTCTTGTCATCGAGTACCGCTAAGAAATGTTCGTGTAAAAATTTATAAGATATTTACAAGATAAAAAAAAATAAGTAACAAAGTAAGAAACTTAAAATATTCCTTACAAATACAAGATACAATATTACATATATAATTTTTATAAATTCATGTTTAAATAGAGGGTAAAAAGAAAGATCACTAAAAAAATATCAAAAGTATATTGTTAAATCTTCGATTGTAAAAATGAGTTCTTTAAGCTTTCGTTTAAAAGAAAAATAGTTACTTTGATGCATAAAATCCTCAGTAAAATTTTTTAAAACTATTTTTTCTCCATAAGAATGGTCCGCGATAATCAATACAAAATTTAAAAGATTTGTTTGAAAAATGGGCGGCTTAATAAAATTATTGCGTAAAATGTATTTATTTTTATCTTTTGATGAATACAAATTATGGAAAGAGATCGGGGATAAATTAGTTTTACATTTAAACATAAAACAAAGAATATTAAAAATATTAATCTCATATATATTAAAAACTTTCATTTCAAATAATAAAGGCTTGGCATGAGTATAACGGTCTTTAAAATATAGAGACGTGCTACATGCTTCTGCTGACAATAAAGAGATTTAAGTTTATTTTTATTTGTACTACCCCAAGCAATGTTTGCATAGTTTATGTGACAATGAATAAATTAGTGATATAATGTGTATATATATATATATATATATATATATATATATATATATATATATATATATATATATATATATATATATATATATATATATATATATATATATATATATATATATATATATATATATATATATATATATATGTATGTGTATATGTGTATGTGCGTATATATATATATATATATATATATATATATATATATATATATATATATATATGTATGTGTATATGTGTATGTGCGTATGTGTGTGTGTGTGTGTGTATGTATATATATGTATTTATGTATGTGTGTTTGTGTGTATTCATATATATGGGTATATGTTCGCTTATATGTGTAAGTATGCGAATGTGAATATAAATTTATATATATTCATTTTTACTTTTATTTTGTCTATTTATGATATTATGTATTAAACGATATCTTATTTTATTTCTTGTAAACATTTATTCAATTTTTCTTATATACTATATATTCTTCAATAACTTTGTAAAAAATTATAAATTGTAACACGGTGCTCAACGATTAGGCAAATTAATGCCTTCTTCTTGCTCTGGCCATTAACTTAATTGTAAATATTTGTAAACTGTAATACTTATTAAACGGCAAAATATAATGTTAAAAAAAAAAAAATGTTAATTGGCAGTTTATGCTTTTTGATGAGAGAGTGAAAAAGAATCCATTTAGTTTTATCAATGTTAAGAGATAATTTGTTGGTCTTAAACCAGTCAGATATTTTGATTAACTCAATGTTCACGTAATGAAATAGAGTAGGAATACTTTTGTGTGACATAAATATATAAAATAATGTTTATACTTTCGTTTTTTTAATTCATTTTAACTCACCTCCCCAAGGCCACCATAGACGAGAGGGCTACTTAATTGTGGTTTAAGCCCTCTATCAACTCTATAACTCCAAAACAAGAACTTTGACGAAAAATGCCGCTGTGCGCAGAAACAAGTTGAGCGCGGTACTACCAGGGACGTGGTCAAACTCAAAACCTCTCACTTGTGAAGCGAGCACTCTACCGCGAATAAATTTTAATTAAACATTGAATAAAGAAAAATTGTCTTTACTCGAGCTTATACCTCAAATCAGCCAAAGTTCGACTTCACAAAGATTCGATTTAGTCGAACATTATTACTTGATCCCTTGGAGGTTTGGGAATTATCGGGAAATATTTTTATTTATTCGGGAATTAAATTTTTTTTTTATTTGCTAAATATCATGCTATTCAGTGTAATTTAGGCGATTTACAAATTATTCGAATTCTTTAATTAGGAATTATCATGGTTTTATCAGCGTATTATGTCAAAACATAACACGCTGATAAAACCACGCTTGTTCCAAAGATTTTTTTATATATATATATAATTTTCAAAACCTTTTTACTTCCCGTAATTCGAATCTAAAGAACACCATTTTGGAGTCTTTAAATCAATTCCGCTCAAAATTTCGCTCAAATGTTAATGTGAATTTAGTTAAAATCTTTTGAAAAAGTTTCTTAATTTACTATTGATCCTAGTTCTAATCTGACGTATATTAACTATATATAGTTTTCAAAATACAGTATTTCTATCAATTTTCACAAAAAATACTAGAACTCCGACCAAGAAAGAGCTTATAATTAAGAAAAATTGCCAATTAACGATCAGAAGAGATCATATTGTTTTCACCTAAAAAATTACACCGAGTAGTGATATAAGTTTCTTACATTCGAGTTCAATAATTGTTATATATATAATTTTTTGAATTAATCAAAAAATTAAGTAAAATTTGTCTTAATAGTATAAAATATACAATACTATAAACTTGCATGCATTATTATTGAGTTCTTCTTTTATGATAATAGAGTATTCTAAAAATTATTGATTTGTGTTTATTGACTACGTGTAAAACAACAAATGTTTCAATTTTCAAGAAAAAAATATTCTGACTCTAAAGACAGAAAAAAACAATAAAAGCTTTTATTTACACTGTGAGGAGTGCGGAGGAATTGTCCACGGTAACATCGTTAAAAAGGCTCAAACGGCCATTTACAATTCCATTTTAGTTAACTGAGCAAATCACCTTAGTTCTCCGATTTGTCTACTCTAGTGCTGATAAAAGTAGAGTAGTTAAGGAAAGTTTTCTCAGAGTAAAAAATCTCAAGGCAAAGTAATAATGGACGTCTTATATCAAAGTTTATAAGGAAGCATTAGAAAAGTCTGGATTTTACACCAATCTCCAATATCATTCAAATCTAAATCCTTCTAATACTAACGAAAAAGAAATACTATATGTCTTAATCCTCCTTTCAGTTAAAACGTTGTAACCAAAATTGGAAACCTTTTCTTAAACTTAATCAACTTACACTTTTGATTACATCATAAGCTCCAAAACTTTTTTTAACAGAAACACAATAAAAATTAGTTACAGCAGTATGCCAAATACTCGATCAATTATTGATTCACACCGCCGACAAATTTTGCGCAACTAACTCACCTCTGATGATATTAATTGCAACTGCATTAAGAAAACCACATGCCCGTTAAATAACCAACGTTAACCGTTAAATATCAAAAATAACCGTTAAATATCAAAAAATATTGTACATAAAGCCACTTTAGCATCAAGTAATCCCAATCTTACATAGGTATTAGTGAAAATACATTCAAGCTTTGCAAACTACCTTAAACCTTTTAATGTAACCAGGTATAGGAATGATACAAAACTTTTCAAGGAAATCTGGAAACATAAAGACGCAGGTAACATGCCTATAATTAAGTGAAACATAATTAAAAAATGCCAATCTTCTAACCTATCAACAAAAAAGTGTAACCTTTGCATCAATAAAAAATATTTTATTATGACTTTTGATAGTCGATAACTACTTAACAAAAAAAGTGAATTGGTTTCTGCTTGTAGGCATAAGAAAATTTTTTTTGCCAAGTATAAGTGATCCAAGATTTGCGATTAGCAAATATCGGATCACTTATACTTGACATCAGATGCCGTTGCAACGCTAAACTTAATTTTTATAACGGTTTTTATTTTATATTTGAATAATATGGTTGATGATTGCCGAATCGCATGAAACTTTAAGTTCCATGATAAAGTTGTATTTTTTCATTTAGATTATTTTAATATACAGCGTTGTGAAAAATATTAAGACCACCGAGATAAAAGCTTCTTTTATTAGATACCACTTTTTAGATTTTAAAAAAGTGGCAGCACTGCTTTATTTTATCATCAACATCCTGTGGGTGTGGCTGAGTATTGAAATTATTGATTTGAACTTGAATCTGCTAACTTTTATTGTAGAATTATGTGTTTTAGTAAAATTTTTGGTATATTTTGCCTTGTGAAATGTTGTGGAAAATAAATAAGAATGGTTCAAACAACCTTTTAGTGAATATTTGTTAGATTACTGCTGTTGATAGTGATACAGCTTAATATTTTTCTGATTTTAAATATGTAATTTTGATTATTTAAAAATTTTTTGTTGTCAGATTATATTATATTTTTAAAATGTAGGTAAAGTTGATTACCCTAGTCTTAGAAAGCCAGGCAAAGTCGAAGCATCATTAAAGTTGGAAACATTTTCACAACGGGAAATTACTAAGAAATACGGACTAAGTAAAACAGCAGTTTTTACCATCAAAAAACTCTACATAAAAAAACTCTACATAATCGTAACATACAAATGTATATATTATAAATATATAAAATATAGGTAAGAATTAAAACAGAAAGTAACTGAGAAAATTAAGAAATTCAAAATAGCAAATAACTAAGAATTGTCGAAATGCTAGCAACCGGTAAAATGTTTTAAAATCATTTAAACAAAAAGTTTTAAATAAGAATAAAATTTCATAATTAACATTATCACAAGATGAATTTTTAACATCATTACTTAAATTTGATTGATATAAATAAATTTGTTTTTGTTTCATTAAATTTTAAGAGAAACATTTGAAGTCAGATAAATTAAGATCCCTGAATAGTAATAATTGTTTTGATTCATTTTTAAATTGTTCTAATGTAGTCTTGTTTTTGTTGACAATCTCTGGGAATTTTTTCCACAGATAAGGTCCGCGATATTTAATTGAATAGAAGGTTAATTTTAAATTATACTTGAGAAGAACAAAGTTGTTATCAGAAAACTTTGTTGAATATTTATGATTAATTTTATTAAAATAGGTTTGAAAAATTATTGGGGACAACCCCATTTTTGTTTTAAACATAAACAATAAAACTTGATGTAAATTGAGTTTATACACATTTAAAGCACCGAGTGCACGTAAAGGTGGTTCGCAAGGAGTATTTCTGCAGGCTCCAAACACTATTCTGCATGCATGTTTTTGTTTGTTGTAGATTTTCTTAAGTTTTGTATAGCCAGTACTAGCCCACACAATATTACAGTAAGACAAATAGCTGTGAATAAAGGCAAAATACAATTTTTTCAGGGATGCTACATTTAGAAAAGGTTTAGCCTTATAAATCATTGCGATATTTTTTAAGAGTGTTGTTTCAATACTATTTATATGAGAATACCACAGTAAATTTACATCCAGTTTTACTCCTAAAAAGTTTACGTTTGTTTCCCTTTTAATATAAGTATTATTAATTATAAGATTTGGTAATTTTATAGGTATGTTGGAAGATTGGACCACTGGAAGATTGGACCACAGAAAAATGGAGAAAGGTATTGTACCCTTTACCATTTTTTATATGAGAGCTTACAATCATGTACTCTAAGTTGAAGCAAAATTTAATATGTTTTTCATATACAAATGATGTTTAATATGATACATTACCCGCTAGTGCAATTGTTTTATGTCCATAGGTATCGAATATTGTAGCAACGGTTATGTTTATTGCATGAATGCAAAATGAAGTGAACAGGTAATCAGTGGTTACAGGATGTTAATCTAATGTGTGCTCAAGGCTTTTACAGTGTGTTTATATTTTTAGGTTTGCTTCAGAGACGATTTTATATTCGAGATACTCGACGATAAATATCAGTACGTGCGCCATTGTTCTGGGGAAGAATTTCATCCACAATGTCTGTTGAAGACCGTCAAGCATCCTACCTCAGTAATGGTATGGTCGATAATAAGTTCTTATAGTGCAGGACCCCGTAGGATTGTTGAGGGCAGAATGGATTTACATTAATACACCAACATGTTGGAGAACAAACTTGTACCTCAACTTCCAATTCGTTTTCCTTATGGTGGTTTCATCTTCCAACAAAACAACACACCGTATCATATGGCACGCTGTTACAAACTTTTTGAACCGTAATAATGTTCCTATGAATTATAGTCAAAAAGAGAATTGCCGACAGAAAGCCAACAAGAAAAGTCGCATTGATTAAGGCGCTCATAGAGGTTTGGACACATAATCCAGAAATACAAGACATGTGTCCAAGACTGATTGATGGAATGCCTAAGAGTATTGAAAAACTTATTGCAACTAGAGGAGCATTCACAAAATACTAAACTAGGCTCATTTTATGACATTGTATGTGTCTTTATAAGATATATTAGAAAAATTCACTTTTTCGACAATGGTCTTAATATTTTTCACACCATTATATATATATATATACATATATATATATATATATATATATATATATATATATATATATATATATATATACATATATATATATATATATATATATATATATATATATATATAAATATATATATATAAAATAAAAAATTACAATATATATTATAAAAAGCAACAACAATAAAACTATTTCAATAAACACAACGGTTATTTTAGCTTGCATTTGTAAACTAATTTATAAAGACATTGCATCATTCCCAAACACACCCGATAAAAAAACATATCAACAGAAGGCCTGAGGTAAATTAGATATGCAAACCACAAGCAACAATAAAAAACACAACCACGCTTTCAAAATGCGCATGCAATGCAAAGGATGAGTTGAAAACAACACCCAATTTAACACGGTCCATCATAAAGACCCCCAAATACAACAACATGCCTATTATGCTTATACAAGAAACTTATAATTTTATTTTATAAAAATCCTAAACAAAAAGTGAAAGTAATTTCAAAGTGTTGCTATGAAAACAAATTTTTGCTGGATAACTCCGAATCAAAAGATTATATTTTTCGCTTTTTGGAAAACGAAAGAACGCATCTTATTATTTTAAAAAGCCGGCTTATAGGCTAATACTAGACAGTGAAGGGATTTAAAAGATGTAATTTTTTTTTTCAATTTCGCGATATTAATTGCGCTTATTACGAGTTAAAAAAACAATAAACTTAGTTACAGATGGCTTCAAACATAAAGTAGAGACACTTGTAAAACATAAAATGTGAAAAACATTGCGATATTTTTTCATGCCTACGTTTTAAGTTTGATGCTTTTTTCCTAAGGGATCATCCATAAAGTGCGTATGCTTGGAGAGGAAGTCTGCAAATAGCGTTTCTGAGATAAGGGGGCAGTAGGTCATTCATAAAAGTACTGAAACACTAAATTAAAAAAAAAAAAATGTTGGGTTGGTAGGTTAAAAGCGAAGGCACTTTTAGGCAGGTAGAGGTTACTTTAAAAAGCGT